GTCCTTTGTGTATGTTTTTTTCCCTCTAGCCTGCCTTATGTTCAGTATTTTGGAGGTGTCTCTGCTCTGAGTAAACAACAGTTTCTCAAAATCAATGGATTTCCTAATAATTATTGGGGCTGGGGAGGAGAAGATGATGACATTTTTAACAGGTAATGGTCACAACTTAGATCTTTCTCCCTTGTCAACTTTCACTTCCAGTTTTGGAATCAGTGCTTGGTTATTCTGCAGGGATTGACCCTCAGAAGGGATATATTCCCCACTCAGCCCAAGTTCTTAGGTGTGTCCTCGTGTAAGTCCTAAACAGGGTCTTTAGGAAAACAAGCTTCTGATATTTTTGGATTAGCTTTGGAAAATATAAAATGGGAACCAACTGAAGGGATTAGTTTACTCTGACTTGCCTTGTGCCATTTTGTACTAAAGGAGTAAACATGTTCTTTGTAAAAATTCAGCATCTCATTATGGGCACCTTTCAGTGTCAAACAAGTTTCCCTGCAAAGAATCTAACTTTCTGCACAGAATCTTTATGTTATATTTTTATTTTGGAATACTAGTGGGTTTTTTGAGATAAGGCATCACTGTATTGCCCAGGCTGGTCTTAAACTCAGGTGATCCTCCAACCTCAGCCTCCTGGGTCGCTGGAACTCATTTTTACATACACGAAAGGGGATAGAGTAGTATAAAAATGACCCACCTGGCCCTAACAACCATCATGCCATAGCCATTTGCCCCATCCATATCCCAGGGTTCTTTTGAAGCTGATAAACTTTTATCATGTATGTTGTTACTACTGGTGGTAAAAACCATCTGTCAGTGGCATTTGAAACCACATTCTTCTGCTCAATCCTCTCTGGAAATGGAGGCTTCAGCCCTACCAGCTATCAATAAGAACACCTTCTCCCTCTGTGAGCCAGTCTGAACTTGTCACTGAGTTTTATATCAGAATACACCCTGGTGCAGCCTTTCTGAATTGGAATCCATTTAGATGGTCAATTAATGGGAGTCTGTCAGAGCAACACTGTTGTCATTCAGGGTTTCACCATTGTGTGAAAACTTGACATAGATCCAGTTTTTAATATAGGCCTAGAAGGAAAGTTTAGTCTGCAGATTGGTTATCAAGCATGCATGCACTTATTAAGCATCTACTGCATATAGAGCACTATGCCAGGCAGGCCCAGTGAGGAAGACACTGAAAACCTGGACATGGGATCCAGACATTTGCTTCCACAGAACTACCCCTGGGGCAAACATTCTGGACTGGTATGGTAGCAGAGGGGTGATAGGATACCATAGCCCTGAATGGTCAGAATGGCTGGGGAGGGAGGGAGCATCGAGAATGGACATGCTAAGGTAATAGACTAGAAGGATGGGTGCTGTGTGGAACAACTGTCTAGAAAGAGAAAAGACCTAACTTTTGTATGACCTATTTACCATATGCCAGGCACCAGGATCAGTGCTCAGAGGAGGCAAGGCCAGGAACCTCCAAGTCATCCAAGATCAACCAGCCCTGGCCTCTTAACCAGCTGTGGTATTCCTGCTGCTGAGGCTTTAATTTTGATCCTCATTCCTTTTTCATGAACCAACACAGAATCCTCCTTGCTGTTCTGGCTAACCACAACACATTGAGATACGGTTTCACTATATTGTCCAGGCTGGTCAGACCAGAATGGGTCTGTTCTATTATTCCACTTAAGGGAACACTGCATGTTATATCCATTTCAAACACTGGCACTGTTGGGATGATCTAAGAGGGCCTTGCTCTCCTTTTTAGCCTTACTACCTGCCACTTCCCACCCCAGACCCTTGTCACCAGTCCCCAGAAGTTCATGTTGTTCTCTGAGGGCACCATGCTTGCTGTCATCTCTATGCCCCTGAATGATGTCCCAGCTGCCCAGAGTGCTCTGACAAACATCTCTTCATTGTCACAGCCTGGCTTTGACTGGTCGGCTCTGGCAGAACTGGTTGCTGCTTCCTCTGTGCCCCCAGCCCCATCTTCTTCTTCCCTTTGTGCTGGCACTGAAAGCCTTATGTTCTGGGCAGCTGTGTAAGTTCTATGAGGGCAGATACCCCTGGCATATGGTAGTCAGTGTCACAGACTCCAGAACTAGTCAGAAAAGGACATGGAATAGGAGGGTAAATTTGAACCAGTGTTGGACTGGGCTGGGATGTGGGTTGAGTGGGAGCCCAAAGCAGGGTGATGCAGCCGGGGGTCTCACTGTGATAGTGACTTTTCCCCTTTTTCTTTGCAGATTAGTTTTTAAAGGCATGTCTATATCTCGGCCAAATGCTGTGGTTGGGAGATGTCGAATGATCCGCCACTCAAGAGACAAGAAAAACGAACCCAATCCTCAGAGGTGTGTTTATTCTTATTCCTTCTTTCCCCTTTAGGATGGGGCAGGCAGGCTGCAGAAAGGAGGCTCTGGGGAAGGCTCTGTGCCTCAAGGGAAATTGGGGGGTAGGGGATACATTTAATGATTTCTTCTTGAGATTTTTTGTTTTAACACAATCCCTTTGTCCCTTTATTTCTTTATAGGTTTGATCGAATTGCACACACAAAAGAGACAATGCTCTCTGATGGTTTGAACTCACTCACCTATGAGTTACTGGATGTACAAAGATACCCAATGTATACCCAAATCACAGTAGACGTCGGGACACCAAGCTAGCATTTTGGTTTGTGAATAAGAGACCTGAAAACAGCCAGGGACCTTTGCTGTGTGTCTCTGCCAATCTGCTGGGCTAGTCCCTCGATTTTACCAATCTGAGTGACAAATCCCCTTCACTTATCATTCAGATGCCTTTCCAGATGACCAGGACGAGTGGGATACTTTGCCCCCACCTTGGCTCAGCATGTGACTTAGCTCTACAAGGTTTTTGTCATTGTAGAAACTGTCAGCCATCGTGGGGAGTTATGACAGTGTCACCCCAAAGAGTCAGAACTGTACACAGCCCAAATACTTGGTGACTGTGGGATTTATTTCTGGCGATAAAACTGCTAGAAATGAAAACTATTGTGAAATAGGTCAGAATTTCTCTAAATTGTGGTGTTCTTATTCCTTAATGAAAACTTGGAGAGTGCTATAGTAATTGAATTGGTGTGATATTTTTTGTTTGTCATATTTTAACAGAAAAACACAAAATTTCAGTTATTCTCATTTTACTCCCCCCAGCTTCTTTCACTGGTGTGCAACTATTACAATCACTGTGTGTGTGTGTGTGTGTGTGTGTGTGTGTGTGTGTCTTAGCAAAAGAATTTTAGAATTTTGAGCCTTGGACCTTTTTGTCCTGCTAACGTGTGAATTCCAAGGCAACTTTAGCCAACAGAGCAAAAGCCTTGGGTGTTCTCACATTCAGTGGTCTTCTCCAGACCATCTGATTTCTGAATGTAAACTTTTTTATTTTAATAGCAGTTTGTAGTATTTTAAAGAAAGAACAAATCGAGTTCTAATTATGATTTAGCTTGATTTTTGTATTGATCCAAATATGCATAGCTATTTAGTGTTACATCATGGCAATTTATTTTTCTTGAGCATGCTGTGTAAACTTGAATTTCCTATGTATTTTTATTGTGGTGTTTTAAATATAGGGAGGGGGTTGAGTATTTTTTAGCAAAAAATAATAATGTACTACATATGTTGTAGCGACCCACAAATGGGCCTATGGTTAGCTGGCAGGCCGGGTTTTAAGAAGAGCCAATCACCTCTGGACCCTTGAGAGGCAGGGACTTCCCATCAGCAGCATCCTGCCAGACTCTGGGACAGAGACCTGGGAGACAGAAGCCTCTGCCTCTGCGCAGAACTACCCGCTCTCCCCAGGTGGGTGGGGCAGAGGGAAACTCAGGCTCCTTGAATGGACCCCTCAGGGCCCTAGGCTGTGTGGTTGTAAATAACTGCAATCTGGTTGTTTACTAGCCCTTCGTCCCTCCCCAAGTGGAGGGAACCGCCTTTGGGCAGCTGGGGGCCACCTCCCTGGGAGGCTCTGGCAGCCACACTCCCTGACTCACCCCCGCATTACCACTGCTCCTTCCTCCTTCCTCTCTTGCCCCACCTTTCTCCTTCCTTCCTCTCCCTTTTTGTTCCTTTGCCTCTTGCCTGTTTCCTAAAACTTGACTGTGGCACTCAGGGTCAAATAGACAAGTCATTCTCTGGCATGAATGTGCCTTTTAATTAGTGATCTAGAAAGAAGTTTAGCCAAACCCACACCCCAACTCCCTCCTCCAAACTCTGGTGCCTAAAGCCTCCCTTTCCACCTCAGGTTTTTAGCAGGTGCTCCCTGCCCCTGTGAGGCCATCCCGCAGGGGTGTCTTTCACAAACCCTTCCACTTAGAGATGTTTTAGCCACCTGGGGTGGGATGGCACAGGGCAGGTCCTACCATTGAGTGCCTTTGCCAGGGTCAGCCTGGGCTGAGGTCCTGAGATCCAGCTACCTAATCCCAGGGTTGAACCCTCTGCTGTGGCAGACCCCAACCACTGCCCACCGGGCACTAGTCCTCACTCAGTGTGGAGACTGGGCTGGTGCCTGGCCCCAGTCTTACCTGTGCCTTTAATGCTTCCAGCATCTCAGATGGTAGCTTGGTTCTTTTCCAGAAGCCTTTGTATTGGTTAAAAATTATTTTCTACTGCAGAAGCAGCTGAGCTATGCAAAAAGTATTCCTCTGTCAGTTCCCTACCAACTCCATAATAAGGATGGAGCAGCGCCTGTGGCTCAAAGGAATAGGATGCTGGCCCCATATACTGGAGGTGGTGGGTTCAAACCCAGCCCCGG